AAGAGCTTTTCTATCTTTTTTTTTTTTTTACAATGATACTCAATTTTTTAACTCTGTCATCCTTTTAATTTCTCTAGCACTGACTCAGCAATGTGCTTTAATCTGTAAAAACAACCAGACTTTTTGATTATGATGACTTTTTGCATAACTTCTGCTCGCCTGGCACTGTACTTTGCCTTTTATTTGCGCTTTTGTTTCTTGACTTCCTTTTCTTCTTCTATAAAACAAGCTCCTTTGTTCTCGATAAAAACTTGCCTGAAAATCTATCGCATTCAGTAAGAGGTTTTCTAGGCTTCAGTGGAACTTGGGGCTGATCTAAGGGAATGGGCTGTGTCAGCTTGCATCACCAAACTCTGAGCACAGTAGACATCCTGCTATTTCAATTGGTCTTAAGTGAAAAATACTTTAGCCCTTAATAATTTTGTTTGAACTAAATAATTCAGGAGTCATAACTATAGGGTAACGTTACTTAGGAAGGATGGATTAGAGAAGAATGAGGTGGCAGTGAGAGACCGATGCATGGCTCCTTTGGAAACTCTTCCCAGGTCTTCTGTCTCTCCAGAATCACGGCAACACAACAACTAACGAAACACATTTTTTTTCTGACAAATTGAACATATGAATTCTGCAAAGGGAGAACTTGTAACTTCTGTTTGTTGGGAAGAGATTTTGTAAAGTAATTACATTCATCTTTAAACTTCAAGAATAGGCCAATGAAAATATTCAACAGGCAGTTTTGAAAATGATCACTGAGACTGGTATGTGCTGCAGCATCTGCTTCAAAAGCAATGAAAATTTTGCTACCATTGCATTAATATAAGTTGGTGTAGAAAATCTACTGAAGAGTTGAAGAGGGAACATAGTGGCTGAAAATCCCTGTAAAAGACAGAGCTCCCCTCCATCCTCTTGCACCCCCCCAGAAGAGCCATCTAGGTCAGTGTTGGTTTGGGATCTTACTCCAGGACTTGGAAGGCAGCTATTGATGTTAATTGTCTCGACTTTCCTATGGACTCTGAGGAATCCCTTCTGCCAACCCAACCATTGGCTGTACACCTGCAGGTAGCTGCTCCTGCTGTTCTGCTTGAAGAGAGCTAACGGGCAAGAGCTGAAGTTGGGAATCTTGCCCACAGGAAGGGGAAGATGGGGCTAAGGTGCTCACAAGTCACTGGGAGCTGCAGAGCACTCTCTTGCTGTTGTTGCTTCCTCCAGACCTGAACCATCCAACAATTTATGCAAAAATATTACTTAATATGTTACTGTTAAATGTTACTTAAAATGTTAACTGAACAAATATTTAAGTCCCACAGGACAGGACGGCTACACGTAACTAAAACACAATCACCAGATTTCTTGATGTCTCTGTCCTGGGTTTGAGTGAGTGGTAGAGTTTTTTGGTGGCAGGGGAGGGGACTATAGGGGCTGCCCCCTGTGAGAAGCTTCTCGAAGCTCCCCCAGCTCCATGTCAGCTCCACTTCTGTTTGGAAAACTGAGCCCATCAGCTGCGCCTCTGCAATAACGTATTTAAGAAGGGATGTGGTGACGAGCAGTGGGACTGGTGAGGAGGAGTTGGGGCAGCTGCGTGAACACCAAGGTCAGTGGAGGAACGGAGGAAAAAAGGAGGGGGGAGGTGTGCCGGAGCAGAGACCCCCCTGTATCCTGTGGGGAGATGGCAGGGCGGCCCCCCCTGCCACCCATGGAGATCTACGGTGGAGCAGACACTGATTTATGGCCTGTGGCTTCCGCCTGGTATAATCAAGGTGCTGTGCCCAAAGGAGGCCGGGGTCTTGTGGGAAAAGGTCGCCCTGCTGTTGTAGTTGGGTGCTGGGAGGATTGCAGCATGCGGGGGTGTCCCATGCCGGAGCAGCTTGGGAAGGGCTGCAGCCATGGGAGGGAATCCAGTGGGAGAAAGTCGGTGACCCACGACGGAGCAGTGTGGGGAACGCTGCGGACCGTGGGAGGGACTCATGTTGGAGAAAGTTTGTGGAGGACTGTCTCCTGTGAGAGGGGGACCGCGATGGAGCAGGGGGAAGAAGTTCCAGAAGCTCCCCCCACCAAAGATGGAATAAGCGGCAGCACTGCCTGCACCCCCCTATTCCCTGCCCCTGTGCTGCTGGGGGAGGAGGTAGAGATATCGGGAGCAGAGCTGAGCCCGGGAAGAAGGGAGGGGTGGGGGGAAGGTGTTCTCAAGGTGTGGCAGTGCTGCTCACTGTCCTACTCTGTTACATGTTGTTTGTCTCTGTAATAAATGTTCTTTTTTTCTACCCCTAACAAGTCTGCCTTTCGCTTGTGACCATGAAGGGGGATTTTTTCCCCATCCCAGTCCTATCTTGAACACCAAGCCTGGCTCTGTCCCTTCTTATTGCTGGAAGAGAAGGGCTGCATTGTGGTTGGCTGTCGACCAGGCTCAAACCACAACAGTCTCCTAGTTAGAGAAGTACTTGTCTTGAAATATGCTTCCAATGCAAATGACTAATCCCACTGGATTTAGTTGTTCAAAGCTATTATTTTTATCTAAGAAAAACAAACTGATCTTTTTACTTTCCAGTCTTCTTTACATTGTGTGTTTCTGACTTTTCTCATTCTGTTGTCCTCAAACTCACTTATTTCTATATTTTGAAGTTGTTGTTGACTTACGGGAAAAATTAATACATCCATTGTTCCTCCATTTTAACCTTATCCATTTTTATTCTCCCAAGTCCTCCTGTTAAATTCCTTTTTCCATGTTATTATCCTATTTGTTCTTTACAATGGGAGGAATCTGAAGTCTAGTTGCAGATTTCACTTTGGAAAATCTTGAGCATATGCTGGAGTCTACTGGAACTACTTCCAACATGCACAATTTAATGCTGGCCCTGCCATGTGCAAACGTAACCTCCTTTCCCAAGTAAATGAGAGCTAACTTGTAAGTTATTATGGAGGTACATTTAATTTATGCACTTCATAAAGTAGCTCCCATTTTTACTACCATGATAGAAAATGCTGGCTGATTTCAAAAGCCATCTGGACACGGCCCTGGGCCACTGACTCGAGATGGCCCTGCTTGAGCAGGTGGGGTAGGACTGGGTGGCCTCCCAAAGTCCCTTCACACCTTACTCATTCTCTGGTTCTTTGACAGGTACAAGAAATTCCAGTTTTCCTGTAAAGTCCAGCTGCAAAAGACTCTTCCATGAGTATTTTCTCTTAATCATCTTCCCCTTGATCTTTTTAACACAACCACTGTTTGAAACACTCAGCGATTATTTGGCGATGCTTTGCTGCAACAGAAGTTTAATGTTGCTGATTATGTGGGAGCCATTGGGCATTTCCATTTTGGCAGAGCCATATTTAATTCTTTTACTTCATGAATGATTACACAGCAGTTAATAGTAATTATTTTAAATGCTACCTTTTAACTAACTAGGACATATCCCTCCTCGCACTGTGTAATAATGATTTTTTTATATTGTGGTCATGTGTCTACTATGAATAATTTGTCTTTCACAGATGGCTGCCCTTTTGTCCATTGATGTTTTTGAGTCTTGGCTTACCTCTAACCTTATTGCATATACAATGGTATAGAAAGTACGTGGCTAATGAATATATATAATTTTTTAATCACAGGAAGTTATCACCCAAAAAAACTTAGAACTACTTATGTTTCAATGTGTTTGACTTGACTTGTGTTGACTACAAAGGTAATTTCTGTGTCCGCTACTATAAAAAAACCCAGAAAATCATTTTCTGCCAAAATGAATATTTTATTAGTATTATTTTTTGACAAGATACAGTCTACTGCTGTGGCCGTCACTGGCTTTGATGGGCGTTGGCCAACGCACCGACTTCAATATGAGCTATACATAAGGCAAACAGTGAAATGGCATGGCCACCGAGGCCAACTGCGAAACTCCCCTTGGCTTCCACAGGGCAAGCATCCCATGCACTCGGTGTGCTGTTAAGAAGCTCCAGTTGAGGTAACCAGCCTGCGGGCACTGTGGGGAAGGCCGGAGCAAAGCCTGGGGCCGGCAGGCACAGGCTGAGGGACTGGCCGCCATGTTTCAGCCCCGTCATGCGGCGCGTCATGGCGAGGCTCCTCCACCATGGCCACCCGGCCTCCTCCTAGGTGTGAGCCACGTGTGGAGGGGGGCGGGCCAGGGCCTCCTCCAATAGGAAGCCAGGCTACCCAGGCCTCCCCTTGCTCTATTGGCTGGCAGAGGTGGATGGGGCCCTTAGCCCCGCCCCTCCCAGCAGGATGAGGCTTCACCCAACATCCCGTGCAAATGAGGGAGGGAGGGGGCAGGGTGGTCACGCGGTGTCGCCAGGCTCCTCCCACTCCGTTTTGACGTCACACCCCCAACTCTCGCGAGAGCTCCCAGTGGTGCCCCTTAGAGGGAGGGGCAGGTGCCAAGGTCGCAGGTGAGCCCGGGGGGCGGAGGGGCCCGAGGCCACGCCCCTCACTCCCCAAGCCCCGCCCATCTCCCCCCCGGGGGAGCCAATGGGAGCCTTGCCTCAAGCCTCTTCCCATTGGCCATCCGCCTGGCATGCAAATGAGCCCCGACGTCACTTCCTCGGATAAATCGAGCGCCATTTTCTCTTTCTGGCGCTGGATGAGGAGAGGGCGCGGGGCGGCGGGCGGTGCGCGGGGAGGCTGAGCTGAGGTCGGGCCCGGGTTCCGGCCATGTCGCTGCCACCGCCGACGCCTTCGCGGCGCGCGGAGTGAGGGGGGAGGAGGAGGAGGAGGAGGAGCAGCAGCAGCGGCCGGGCGGGCGGGCGGGCGGGGCGGGGCCGGGCCGGCGCTGTGCGGCGCGGGAGGCAGCGGCTGCGGCGCGGGGCCGCCACCCGGCAAGAGCGGCGGCGGCGAGGCGGCGGAGCGGCGGCGGGCTCCCCCCTGCGGCCCGGCCGGGTAGGTGCAGCCGGGGGGGAGGCGGAGGGCGCCGCGGCTCTCGGGGGAGGGGGGGCGGGGAGGGCGCGGAGGAAGTGGGGGGGGTGGGTGCTGCTGGGGGGGGACCCGGCCCGGCCGCGGGTTCCCGCGGGTGGGCGGTCGGTTCCGTTCGCGGGGCGCGCTCGCCCCGGTGGGCTTCCTCGAAGGCGGCGCCCGTGGGCTTTCCACGGGAGTAGTGCCCCTCTGCCCTGCCCGCAGCGCGCACGAGTGGAGGAGGGACTTCCGGGTGTGCCTGTGAGCGGAAGCAGCAATTAGCCTAATGAGGCGTTTTATCACAGGGAAGCCTCGCTGCTTTGCGGCTTCTGTTAACTAAATAGATGTTTAGGACCGCTGTTTGGTTATTTTTTTTTTTTTTTGTTGGTTGTTTTTCTTTCTAACTTCTGTCGGTGCTTGAGCGGTGGAGCATCTGTGGAACCAACTTCACAGGTTGTCTCAAAATCTGTGGATCAAAAGTCTTAATTTTATGCAACGCGGGTATTTGAAACGGTTTATGGAAAACCGTGGTGTGCATGGGCGTGGTGTGCATGCAAAATCAGAACTAAAATGTTCGTGGAATGCAAAATTACATGAAACATTCATGTGAGACCCCAACCATGGATACACTTCTGAAAAAATAAAAGCGTTTATCAGTAATGTAAACAAGTGTAACCCGTGCAATGCAAATCATTAAAACCATTTGAATATGATTGCCTTGTGCTTGAGAGCAAGTAGTGGGAAGTGCTTTTTGTCCTGATTTGTAAATTGAATAAAAGGTGTTTGACTTTTGCTGAAATGGCTCATAGTTCCATACAGTCAAAATTATGAACAACTGATTTTCAACTGATACTTAAGATCTGACAGGTAAACCATTGGGCGGAATTGGTTGTTTGCCATAACAGCTTTCTATCGTCAAAAATATTTGTTTGAACCCCTAAAAGTTTTAATGGCTTATAATGAATTACTTGTAAAGACTCACTCTTGGGATCCCCAATTCAATCTATATTCCAGAAGTCATAGTGCTCTTCTGAATAAATTTTCAGTTTAATTTTGAATAAGAGAAGGGGATTTTTTTAGAGCAATATTTGGACAAACTGTGTAATAAATATGCTATATTATAAGCTGTAATAAGACTTGTAGTTTTAATAGTTCATTTCTTGAAAGTTTCATAAAAGCCACCACCAACCACTCCCCCCTCCCCCCAAATTATAGCAAATCTTAAGATGTGATGAAGAGCACGCAAAGTTTTATGTTTTGCCCCTGGAAATCCCTTGATTTGGATTAAGGTTTGTTGAGCGCTGGTAGAGCTGGCTTGTGTTTAAACCCTTCAGTCCTTCCGCTGAAACCTGTAGCGCTGTCTTATTTTTTTTTTTTTCAGTTCTGTCCCCTTGCTGAATTTTGCAGGCTGTGGGTAATCTGCTGTGGACTGTTCTGTGCATCTGTGTGAAATGTCTTTTCAGTCGTACGGTGCAGTACAAACGCAGTTGTACTTCCTCCTAGAGTAGCTGGGCTCAGCGTGCGACTCTTCCGCTTGCATACCCCTGGGGCTGATGAGTCCTGTGGGATTTGAGTAGGCTCCTTGTAGATGCTCAAGTCATCCAGAATGAGCTTGGGTCCTGCTGGGTTCAATTTCTGGCTAATACTGGTCCCCGAGGGAGTCAAGGGCTATGTGAGTCACAGTGCTCTTGGAAGGTTCTGAGTTTGAATGATATAATCTCTTCTTTTCTAACTAGTCCTGGGTAATGGGCTTGATGGTGTGTTAATGAAGCATCACAACAGTTACTTAAACCACAGTAGCTAAAGTTAGTGATCTAAATTTGGTTTGATTTGACATTTTAGGTGAGATGCGGGTTGATAAGTTGATGCTTTTTATCTTTAGCTATGTAATCAGAGACCTTAATGCTTTTCTCTGTGTTAGTAACTCTTGAATGGTGCCTATGTTGTGTTGGATTATATGACCATTTTAATGGGTATGTGACTTATAGCCAAGAAAAGAGCGAAATTGTTGACAGAGATCTATAATTCAGGACCCCTGAAGGTTTCTGATTTAGTTGCACTAAAAGAAGTGTAATTTTTTTTTTTACCTGAGATTTCTGTTAAGTTGCACTCGGATAGAAATTGTAATTTAAGGAGATAAAGTAGCATTATTTTGTTGACCATAACTACTCGTAGTAAGCTTGATTAATCAGTTTTAATTTATAACAGATGAAACAATAAACAAGAGTAACATCCATTCTAATCAACTGACTGTTTTTCTTTCCAGGAATCAAATCTTTCAAAGCTGTTAACACCTAGAGATATTGATAGGAGGCTATATGCATTTCTGCCCTCTCCCTCCAAAGGCTGGATTAGCTTTGATGCTGCCGACGTACTCATAAATCCAGTTAGGTCTCTCTCAGAAGGCACAGATAAGAGTCCAGGGAATGGAACCATCCATGTAATAAGCAGTTGAGAGATCCAGGTATGACGACTTGGAGGGCTTGTAAGCTTATCAGAAACAAAACAAAATAGGTGAGAGTAAAATCTGGTGTGGCCAAGTTGAACTCACATTCTTCTAGGCAGTTTCTCAGTGTGCCTGTCCTCCTAGCTGCTATCTTTGGCACCCTGTGTTCTTGTTCTTTATATTCTGAGAATTAGTACATCATATGCTCTCATTTCATTTTCAGGAATGAAGCAGTTGTTACTGCTTTCTCAGCTAATATTGGATTATCAACTTCTAATGAGTTTACTCATTAAAGAATCAAAATAATTCTTTATCTGTGCTTGTCAACTCTGATAACTGCTCAAATAGAAGTTGGTAAACAAACCTTTAAAAATACTTCCCACCCAAATATCCCAAAACCTGAAGGTCTTTATAAAGGTCTCTTCCACAGTTACTAATGACAGCTTACTAGATAAAAGTAAAAAAACCCTAAGAATTATTGAATATCTAAGGCAGATGATATGAAGGGACAGATTTCCATAAGCCTTTCATAATTTCCCTACTAGAAGCAGCTCTATGAGCAAGAGACTAATGAAGGCCAACTTCCTAGGAATGCCTCTGGAGATCTGGTTTCTGTGTAGACTACCTGCTGTCCAAAAAGAGTTACATTACAGCCTTTTTCTCTGTGGATCTTCTAGTAGAGTTTCTAGCTGCCTGCTTTCATGCAGTCACTGTAAATGTCTGGTCTAATTTACTGTCAGATTTTACTGGATGTATTTGCATGCATGTGGAAGGCACACTTGTGCACCATCCTTCCTCCAGCTCCATACCAGTTTCATATTTAACTTGATTGCATATGCCTAGTTTTCTTAGGAACATAAACTAAAGTGGTGCTGATTTGATGTAAAGAGAAAAATCTTTTCAGTGGGAGCACAGTCCATCACTGGAAACTGTTGCCCAGAGAGGCTGTCAGACCTCTGTGGAGATTTGCAAGTCCTGACTGGCTGGTATGCCGAGTGCCCTGGTTGTAATTTGTTGTTGAGCCTGCTTTGAATAGGAGGCTGGACTGGGTGTACTCCTGGGGTCCCTTCCAAGGTGAATGAGTGGTGTTCCGAGAGGTAGACTGAAAGGAAGGCAAAGAGGAACTTTCTATTTTGTGGTGACGTTTCACTGTTAAGAGGTGAAATGTTAGTATTTCCACTTTTTTTTAATTCAGAGGAATTATAGTTGAGCATACTTACTTGACAAGCTAGTAATATTTGTCTTTGATTAGTAAGATATTGTCCAGACTTACCTTGTTTAGACTAGTAGTAAAATAGTACAGTAATACTGGAAGGACAGAATTGCTTTTGTGAGCTTTGTTGAAAAGCTGTATGTTACATGACTACAAATGTTGTAGAAATGGAGGGAGCCTTTGGTGTTACACAAAACTGCAGTTTGCTGTGTTGCTACAGAGGTGTTACCTAAGTGAACACTAAATGCAGGAATAGATTGATGGATAAAATGCCTGAGCAAGGGTTGAAAGACCTTTTTAGAACCTTTTCGACCTTTTTAGTTTGGGACATCTGCTGCTAGAATTACTCCTTTATTTTGCTATTAACTTGCCTTGGTTCTGTTTATGAAAAGATTCTGTCTGAAAAGGCAATGGATTATCATTTTTTTGGAAACTACAATTAAAAGTAGTTTAAGATAAATTTGTCTTTTAGCTAACCAATGTGGTAGAAGGATCAAGGCTCCTGGGCTAGAGAAACTTGGGCTTAATTTTACTGTAGTGCTTTCATGTTGAATTTGCTGGTTAAGAATGGGATGCGTACCAACAAAAGATTGACTGTAGTTATGCCTGGAAACAAAATACAAGCTAAGGCTTGAAGAGTATCCAAAATGCAAGAGAAATAAATTAGTAGTAAGAGTATGGATAATAAACTGTGTAGTAATGAGGGAATTAAACTGAGGGCTTGAGGGAATAAGCTTAGAAGGTTGAAATTTTGTAACCTTTATGATGGGGAGTTGCTGGCCTAATGGATAGGGAGAATGTTAGATGAGTAACTTAATCTTACTCCCAAGCAATTTGTTTAAATACCAGCTGAATAACTTTGCACATGAAACAGAAATATACATGTTTTTGGATTGAAGATGAACTACCTGAAAGCTGGAAAATTAAGTTATTTGTATTCAAATTTTTTTGTGTGGGGGAGTTTTTTTGCGTTTTTTTTTTTCTTCTGGGATTAACAGCTTCCATTTCAGAAAGATGGCTGGTTAAGAAAGCTGAGATACGTGGCTGTAACATACTATATCACTTTTGCAAACTAATCTTTTTTTTTTTTGTGAGATAGACATGCCTCAAGATATGTCTGCTTCACCTTCTTCAGTAGCATCAGTGTGTCAGTTAAAGGACTGAGATGGAGGAGCTGTTTCCAGTGGAGCATAACATATTGAACCATCTCTCCTGGCTGATCTGAGTATGGTGACATCCTGTCAGCTCTGTTACCTGCAGTGGACCATGGGGTTGGTGCATATAGCCTGCTATCGTAGAGGGACTGTTTGTAAAGCTTTAACCAGAGACTGTACAAATTCCCGGTTGACTTCCCTTTCTAAAGAGGATTTTACGTCTTAGTTTTACTCCTTAAATTTTGATAGAATGCCAGACTAGTTACTCTGATTTATTCCATTCTGTATAGGTTCTCGTTCCATACCCACTCCAATGGTATCAGAATGTCTTCCAGACTTCTTACCGATAAAAGGTATTAGAAAACAAGACTAGCATCTGTCAAATGGGGCTCCCTCTCCATTTCTCTCTACAAACCTTTCCTTTGGGGGGAGAAGAGGAGGAGAATAGCATGTGAGTTGTTTAAATTTTAATTTATAAAAAACTCAGGTGTTTTGTATATTTTGTACATAAATGAAGGTTTGTTTTTTGTCTTCCTGAGTGATGATGTACAGAATAGAAAGTTTTTTGTTTGTGCTTTTTTTTTTTTTGCCTTTAGCTTCTGTCTTATGTGGGAGGGGGTTTTGCAACTGTTTACAGGAAAGTCTTGCCTTTCAAGGCAAGGATTTAATGTTGACAGTAATCTTGGTTTGTTTTTTTGTTTTTTTTTTTTTGAGAAGTATAGCTTTTCAAGACATTCAGAACCATGAAGGCTGAAGTACCATTTGGGGATTTTATTTTTTTTTTCTCTTTATATCTTCTTGTTATAACTTGTCCTGGATGGGTGAATTCTTTAGCACTAAAGACTGAGATCCTTTAAACTCTGTTGGGTCCTCTGCCAGCTATTTACGAACAAAGAAACACCTGTGAAGCTCCCAGTGACCTTTTTAAGTGCAGGGTAGTTCTGTTTCATGTGCCCATTTAAATGTCTTAAATCTCAGTCTAAATTGCATTTTACTGTAATCTAGGGAGGAGGTGATAGAGGCACGTACTACTAAAGCTAAGCCCACAGGGATAATTTATGATGCACTGGGAGTTGAAGATAAGCAACTGATGTGTCCATAGCCCAGTTGCATGTTCCCCTAGTTGTTGGGGGGCACTGGACCCTTCCTGGTGGTATGCTCTAGACAGATGAGCAACCACGTGGCATAACAGCCCTTCAGATAGATGATCCTCATCAAATAATCTGTCTTTCTGTACTCTTCATTTAGCTATCATCCTCCTCTGTATGTTGGAGTCCAGCTATCACAGCTTGCTGGAGGGAGCAGGGTAGGGTATAAAACCAGATTCTGGAGTAGGGGAAGGTGATAGAGCTATATATATTTCTTCAGAGGAGGGACACTAAAAGCATATGGGTGCTAAAAAAATTTGTCCTATTTCATCATATTTAGCAATCAGTGCCAGACATTAATTACATTTTATTTTTACTGCATTAATACTGTAGTAGCTTGTTTTATGCCAAGGTCCGTATCAGCTTACAGCAGCAGAAACTTCTGCAGGAAATTTAGATTTTACTGGCAGTCATATTTAAAAGCATGTACATACATGACAAAAAAACCAAATTATCAGAGAGGCTTCTCATCGTGACACTAACATTCAAGTTGAAAGGTGTTGCATTCCTTCTTCCCAAATGAGATTATAGTAATTTTCTGAATAGAATTTAGTAAAAATCTGGTGTTTGTGTTCTCTTCGCAAAGAAAAACCCACAAAACACAGTATAGCTGCCATATAGATACAAAGAGATCTGAAAGAAAAACTGGGGATTTTATTTAGATAGGAGAGAAGAAAATGTATTTTTTTTCCCCCCCAAAATCAGATTCTCTTTCCTCTAAGAGGAAGTCAGTCATCTACTGGGAATTACTAATGAGACCAGTTCTTTGGCTTAAAGCTTTTGGGTTTTCATATTTAATATATTTTTCAGACTTGAGTTTTTGTTTTAATACTGTTAAATGGAAGTGTCTATGTTCAAGTATTCCATCACTTTTTTGTATTTCTTTTTCAGGAAAAGTGCAAAATGTTTCAAATTCCTGTTCAAAATCTTGATAATATCAGGAAGGCTCGAAAAAAGGTGAAGGGCATTCTTGTGGATCTTGGGCTTGACAGCTGCAGGGAATTGTTGAAGGTAATGCTTTTGAAATAATGTAAACCAATCTAAAACTTAAATCCTTGACAGATATTTCACTTTCTAGTGTGTGTATGATACTCCTCTGCCATAGATCTTTATGGTGGGATCTTTACTTGAAGAATGACTGACTAGTCATAGGCCATGGTGGAATTTAGTGTTCTAGCATGTAACACTGAAAAACTCTTCTTTCTCAACAAGATGTTATAGATGGTGCTGCATATTCTCTGCTAGTAATATTTCAACAAAAGGAAACAGTACAGCTTTAGGAAAGCCACCACGAATGAAGTGAAATGTTATTTGTGTACTACACAGCAACTTTTTTGTGATTCTTTTAAAATCACAGGCAGATGAAGACTTGAGTCTACTCAGAGGCATCCTGTCACATATCAAGGGCAAGCCTCTGAAGGATATCCGAATAGTCAGTATTTCTGAAAACCCATGAGCAGTTAGACCCAGTAGTCTTGTTGCAGGCCTTGTGTCCAGGGAAAAATGTCAAACTTGTAGAACCGAACTACAAGTCAGTAAGACATCTTAAGAAGTATATGTGAGTGTACAGGGGCAATCAAGATGATCCTAGAACCATTTTCAGGAGAAAATACTGTGCAACAAGCAGGAGGAATTCACACCATCAGGTTGGCAAGTCTAATACCACAAGTGCAGACACAGTAATGCAGCTCAGTGACTAAACGGCAGTGTATTTCAGCCAGCTGGTGCCCAGGGTGTTGTGGCTGTTCAGTGCATTCGTGGCTTCACACTGACCCTAGCCAAGAGTGGATTAATTCTGTATGATGGCACTAAAGTTATCTCTCTGTAGGGGTGTTATTGTCTTGTGTGTGTGTTTGTTTTTTTTCCTGAAATGTATAAGTAAGTGATTAGAGGGGGAAAAAAGGCTTAAGATCTACATGCGTAGGTACTTCTGCAACATTCTTGGTTATTACAGTTGAATAATGTTTGATACATCTAAATACAAGAGCTCAGGGAAAAGTGTGTTTGTCTAGTAATTTCAACTTTCTTACTGTTTTTGTGGTGTATAATATTTTGTAATTAAACCTCTAAGTCAGAAGCTGTTCTGTCTTGATCCTTTGAAGTAGAAATATTTTGATGATGCTGACTTTTTTTTTTGCTAAGAAATTAATTGCCATCTGACTTTTTGATTACGGTATAGGGTTTAATGGTGATTGAGGAATAAGGTGTTTTGTGTTTGGTTGGCTCTTTTGGGGAGGGAAGTGGGGATAGTGTGTGCTTGGTTTTGATTCAATTTTGATAAATGGTAGTGCCGGGAAACCCAGTGAACATTTCCATTCTGGGAAAAATTTTGAGATGTGGGATACAAAAATACCATTTTAGCTTTTGCAAATAGTTCTCCCTCAGCCAAGTTAATAATTTCAGTTTATTTGTTCCTGGTAATCCGGGGCTGGTTTTTATATAAATTTAGCAGCAAGAAGGGTTGTTTTTAGAACTTGATTTGTACTTGGCTCATATGATGATGGTATTTCTTTTTGGTAGACTAGGTTGTGTGATATCTTAATAGGTGTAATAGGTGAGAAGTAGCTTAAGTGTGGGTTTTCTTTGTTTTGCTTTGTTTTTTTTTTTTCCTCAGATACTAAGATTGATTTCTGGACACTGTCTGTGTGAAGAGGCTGGGCAATTTAGAAAATGCTATGATACAAACTTGATCTGCCATCTGGTCCTCAAATTAGTCTTAAACTTTTCTAATAAGGCATGATAATGGACAGTAGTTTGTGAGGAAGGTGAGGAATTTCACTAGTATCTCTGTAGGTCAGGAGACCCAATGGATTAGCTTTTTGGGTAAAAGTTCTTAACTGATCTCTACTAGGAAGAAAACATGAGCCTTTTGTGCTAGATTACTAGTTTGATTCTCAAAGTGGTACTTTTAAGTATGTTAATGTCAGAGGCTTTCTTCTAGTAAACTTTTAGCTGCTTTGACATTGTAATCTGAAGTCTTCATTTGAACTCTCTAAGTATTTTACCTTTTTGTTCTGGAAAACAATGATGGTTTTAATAGAGGGGAGGAATTAGTTTGAAATATGTTTTTCTCTTAAACTTAGAAATACACACAGTGCATCAGGATTAATCAGGCATCGTAGAGGGGTTTTATTCCCTAGTTACCTTCCCTGTCTGTTTTTCTTCCCTCCTCAAAGTGAGAAATGTGGGAAAGGCATAACAAGTTAGTTGATCAAAGCTTGTTTCTGGGACATCAACATGGATCTCTGTCTAAAGCGAGAGTTCAGAGTAGCCATTTGCAGCACTAACTGTGGTGATAAGAATGGTTATCTTTGTTTATCAGTGAATATTCCTCTGTAGGAAATAGTTGTTTCAGCAAAATTATCTAGACATACTGTCACACATTTGACTTGTGGGAATCTGGTGTTCAAGCCTCTCTGGAGAGTACTCAAACCAAAAGCAGAGCACATTTGGAGTAGGCCATAAACGTCAATAAATTCACTCCAGTATGTGCAGCTGAAGAATTGTTAGTAAACCATTGAGTCTCTTCATTTTCTTCATCAAGCATAGGTAAGAAAAGCATGGTGTTCTCTAAGGCTGTGGGATTTCTTTTGTTCCATGTAAGGGTTCTTTCTAAGATGTTTTTTTAAGAAGGTTTGGCTGAAGGGCAAATAGATGACTCATTCAGAGCCTAGATGTTGACTAGAAAGAGGTTGGTTTGTTGCCCTGTGCTCTTCAGGATTCTCCTTGGGGAAACTTGAAGGTTGAAAGAGCTAGAAACCTTATTGCGAATTTAGCTATGTTTTTTTTTAAATTCTCGAGTAATTTAATTTAAATCAAATTGTCCCTGGCGTGACCTTCTGGCTCGCTGTAATCTGTTACACAGGGATGCTCACACTTGCATGGTGTGGACAGGAGCCTAGTGCAGACAGAACCTGCATTAAGTAGGATTATGTATTTGCTTGACTGCTAGATGCTTTGTTTCTTTTTGTTGCTCTGTATATCCTGTCTTGTGTGTAAGTTTCACATAAATATTGCGTTGTTTTTTTGATCCCAAACTATTAGATTTATTCTGACTTCTTTAAGATGATCTAATCTTAAATGGTCTTTATTACCTCCTTCTGCTGTTCCAGTTGTGGTTTGGTGTGGAGGGGAAAACATCTTGCCCTCTAAGTACCATGCAGGATTTTGAGTGAGGAGAGGTTTGTGAAAGGGAAGGGAGAGTGTGAGGGGAGAAGCAATGTTGGTTTTCTGTGGGCTAAGCCTGGATTTGTAGCCTGTGTTTAATGTAAGACACTCTAGTGTGCTGTTGAAATTAGCCTAGGGTGTGTAGAAAATGCCTAGCAAACAGGAATCTAGTTACTTTTTCATTAAGTTTGTGTTTGAATGTGTGTGGGCCTCAGAAAATTGGAGAGGAATTTAAGATTTTCAGAGTAGTAGCTGGCTTTGACTTTATGAGCATAAACTGCTCTGATGGGATTGATTAGAAAAATGCTATAAGGAAAGTTGTTTACTCTGACATGGTTGTTACAGATGTGATAATATTGTTGCTTTTACAGCTTGAGGAAAAGTATTGCTGCTATTGAAATAAGCTTCTGGGAATGTCTTTGTTTTTCTAAGTTAAAAGCATAGTAATGCTATGAAGATTTAATACTAAAACCTGTTGCAAAGTAAACCATAGTGGCAAGTTAATAAATGGAAGTAAATAGTGAAATATTACAGATGAGGAGGAAGAAGGTTGAGGGAGAATATACCTTTCAGTGTTCAGTATGAGCTTGGCTAGAAGCAGTGGAATTAAAGTATAAATATTTTCACTCCTGTATTTTCAGTAACTATGAAGTGTTCAGAATTCCTACTGTATTACGAGGCAGTCATATGAACAAGTATTTAAGGTAAAATAAATCAAAATGGGGTCAAAGAAGTAATTTCTTTGAACTCAGTTTTGATACCTGTATCCAAATACTGTATGGACTTTCCATTCATCTTGCCTTTGTATGTTTTCCTTGCTCTGTACTGAGACTACTTTTGTAGTCAGAACAGACTGCAAAATCAGATTATTTCTTGTTTTCTTTTTTCTTTTAGAACCTTCAGAGTTTTGACCCAGGTGAAAAACACTTTTGTAATACTTCATGGAGTGATGTCTCTCCTTGGGAGTCTGTGGGCAAAAGGAAGGTATGTATATTTGTGTTAGAAATTTTAGGTAGATGTGGTTGTGGAGTTGCTGAATGTTACCACTTTCAGAAGTCCTGGAAAAGTTGAAATACACCTTTTTTTATGGTTAAAAAAAAAAAAAACAAACCCCAAAACCAAACCTTTAACATCTGGGTTTTTTTAAGCACTTTTAGTCAGGGAATAATCTTTCGTTTTCTGTGTTCTTCCCTATAATTCATCTGGTTGTAAGGACCATATGTGCTCTTTGCTGTTTTTAAGGATACAACCTTGAACATCAGTATTTAAGGTGTCACACTAACGTTCTGCCTTTTTAGCCTAATCTGGTGTGTAGTCTTAACATGCTTTTGTATACAACATGCTGCTTGTTTCATTGGAAGGGTGAAAATGTGATTGCATAGAAGCAAGGGATTAAGCAAAAATTATCATTAGCATCTTGGGAGAGGGTTGCAGTTGAAAACACAGTTAGATTTGTGTGTATGAAACAGCTTTTAGTTCTATATAGCTAGAATCTTGTGTGAAGCTATAATCTGTAAGAAAGGCAGGGTTGAGATGAAGAAACCAAAGGATTTATATAATTTTATATTCTAGCAAGTTTCTAAGATATTATGTAGAGTGTATCCAGAAGAAAAAGTAGTCTTCTCAGTCTTGCTGGAGAGTCTTAGTGTTCCTGACTGCTTCTGTGAGGAAGGGCTGTCAACAGCATGTAAATAGTGGTGGGTCTGCTCTTTTCATCCTGAATCAAAAGGTAATGGTGTAGAATAGTGTGGTAGTGGTTTGCCAGGACTATTTTATCTTCCTTTACCATCTTTAAAACAAACCGAGGCTGCCAAGTATGGTAGTTGCATTTTTAAACAAAGCCCTCAACATACATGCTGACCAAAGCCACTGAGTCTTTGCCAGATGGTCATTTAGTAAAAAGTGACCCCTCCTGTCCTTCAGGACTGTTACCTGCTTTGTGTCCTAGTCCTCCTTTCCTGAACTTAGGTTCATGCATTTAAGACTGGAGGTTCATCTGTTCACTTGAATGATGAGTCAGATGTGACTTGTCTGACTAGGTCCATAGAGACAGAAATTGGTGCTGCTTCAGATAAGACTTGAATTTACTTTCAGTCAGACTACCTTTAGTTTAGGTGAATGGTTATGATGGTGTCTCTATTTTATTTTCTTCCTCCTTTTTTATTTCTTCTTTATACACATGGAAAACTCCTTTTATCAGGTCTCCTGGATCCAGTCAGCATGTTGTCTGAGGTCTAGCCTTGCTGATGTTGTCTTTTTTTGCCTTTTCCTCCATCTTCTGACTGAAAAATGAAGTGCTGGGAGATCTTCAGTGTTAGATGAGCAGGGAAGGTTTTCCTTCCTCCCCAGATATAAAACAGGGAAGAGGAGAATGAAGACAGAGCAAGTGAAGCTTCCTGTCTGAAACTTTAGATGAAGGATGTTTTTTCTGTCTTTGTTCCACAGTCCTTCAGTGGAGGAAGTCCTTCAGTGGAATAGCTATTTCAGTGAAAATGAAGAAACTAAAAATCATGCACTAGAGCCACAATCTTCTTTCATCCCTGCTGTCTGGAGAGAGACCAGGCAGAGACTTGATCCCTTACCAGAAGGGAGAAACACGGATCCTGACTTAGGTATTACTGGTCATGCTGACTCACTGTCCAAAAAAACCAAGACTGGGATCTGATCTGATGAACTTCAGTGCAGTGTGTAATGTGCTGCTGTGGAACAGATTTGCCAAGCTATGTCTTTTGGATACTAAACTTTTTCCTATTCGTTGTCTTTATCGAACCATAGTTCCTTGATATATATCATTCAGGTATCTTGACATCATGCTGCCTGGATTTGGGAAAAAATAAGTTGGTTCTTCAGGATGTCCTATTCCAAAGTTGTTGCCGTAAGGGGAAAGTAAGTTGTTTGAGCTACATTAGAGACTCTGTAGGCTGGAGAAGATTTAGATGAGTTGGTGGTTTCTACCATTAGTACTGTTTTTAGGGAGTCATTATTAAGTCTGGAAGAACTTTGGTTTTTGGAGGCTGTCGTGTCTTTCTGCTTGTCTCTAGGTTGTGGGGAATGTGAGACTACACAACGGAAAGTGTTACTGCATTCTAGGGTATGTTCTTTGGAGTGGGACTAATGGAGTTTTCCTAAATGCCTCTAATAAGCCTTTTTGTGTTCCATTTGTAGATTAGGGTTGTGTTGGTCAATCTCAGAGATGCTCATTTTTTTTTCCTAAGTGGCTTAGAATTCTTGTTTTGTCAAATTTTCTATAAAACTGAGATGTTGTTAGTAGACTGTAATAGCACTTGCAAACATAAAAAGCAGCTTGGGTGCATATGCAGGGAAAACATGCTGATGAAGTATGTCTGGAAGAGCTTTATTTCATACAAAAAACATGAGAGTAGCAGACTTCTACATATTTCTGCTAAAACAGCTTTTTAAAATTATTTTTTTGTTGCTGTTGTTGCTGTTGTTTTTTTTTTGAGCTAAGTAGTGGGACTATAGGATTTGTCCTAGTTTGATAGAACTTGAGGTACAGAACTCTTTCTTTTGCTGAAGTTTTGTAATTTTTACCTCTGTGGGGAAAAAAAAAAATAAATCTAAGAGGTCATGGAACATTATTTCTCCTAGACTTACCAGTATGCAGGTACTGGGGTGGTTCCTTAATAGTACAGGGCAGTGCTTGTTTTTACAAGTAAAAACGTTGTTATTATGGAATAGTAAATTAATTTAGCACTTGGACCACTTGTAAAGTAGAATATTCTCATTGCACTTAACAACAGTTGTTCAGGCTTGGCAGCAAGGAAATATTGACACTGCATTACACTATGGTGTAAATTTATGGGGACAGAAAGACCCAAATCAGAAATGGGGTCGGAGGGGAGATAAAGAGTGTATGGGCCTGGTGTTTAAAAGCACATAAGCTTTTCTAGGGCTTGGACAACCAATTAAAGTAAGTAGTCACCTCTTTGTCACCTGACTTCCGAAGAAGTAAGGCTGGTGAGGTGCAGCTTTTAATAATGCTCTGTATGCTTCATTAGTTCAGTGGCCTTTCTCTGCTCAGAATACTTCAAGATTGAAGTTGCTTCTAATTTGCTGTGGTGCTGTTTACTAGCTGCTGAGAGCAGACACCTAAAGCATTTATGTAGAGGATAATTCACTGATATCTTCACAGTGTGCTCCTCAGCAGCCTGAGCCAGCCAGCGGCTTTCATCTGACGCAATCTTTTGAATTTGGAGGTTAGATTTTGGTTATCATCAGGAGACTCTTCTAGTACTGCTATCAGATGACACCTCCATGGCTATATGAAATGACAAAAAAATAACTGCACAGATCTTTGCTACGGTTCTTCATAGCGTGTCTGTGACATGTATGTGGGTGATCTAGCTAGGCTGGATGCTGTAGTGGTGGAACAGCTTGTTCCTTTTGGATGGTGTTTCATCCAAGGCAGAAGTCAGTAAGGTGAAAAACACATCTGAGGGAACAGACAAGTTCCACTAAATGTTTGAGAGTGCAGATTTGTCACCTGGATGTTGTTGTCACTGATTCTGTAGTTTTTGGCAGGAGCCATGGTTAATTTCCTGGGAAGTTGATAAGAAAAAATGGTTGACAGAGCTCCCAGTTTTTTTGGAAAGGGCAAATAATGTCCATGGGGATATGGAAAGTAATGCTGTCAAGTGACATGTAGTTGAGGGATTAAACCACTGTTTAGTGGAAGATTAAGTTTGTTTATACAGTTAAAATATTTTTCTGAGAAGAATCTGTATGCTCCATGAGTGTGCTAGAAGAACTTTCTTACAGAAATTACTGTGGTGGAATGTCTAGTATGTTGAGATAATACAAAGAGGTCATTTCTGCTTTATCATAAAAAGGGAGTTCATTCCTTTCTCTTGCTATTATTAATCTGGCTCCAAAAGAAAGTTTAAAAAAAAAATTATTTTTTTGTGACTTTGCTGGGAGAGAGAGACTTCTGGAGAGCTTTCAGTGAAGGGTAGGGTATTGCACAAAATTCCCCCACCTCATGTCTCTTTCTCCAGTAGATGGGTGGCCCTGAACTACATAAAGCTTTAGAAGTGTAATATTAGAAGGGCTGTTATTCCTAATTGCTGAGGCTTCACCTCCTATGCACAGTGGCATACAAATTCTTAGCTTGTTCTGTGATTCCCGCCTTTAAAAACAGGCTTCAGAAATGCTTCTTGTGAACTAGAGTAAAAGGGAACTCACTGAAGGCTTCTCAGTAAATTTTAAAGAAGCAAAAAGGGCACAGATGTTTCTCCCTTTAAGTATGTCATCTTTAAGTCTGCTTTTCAAAAACAAGAACCTGAGAAGATACATGCTCTACACCCAGTGAAGGCATTTTTGACAAGTGATAGTTCAGACTTACGTTCAAACATGTAGCAGGGATTTAGGAACTGGCAGTTTCTAAGTGGATGTTTTTGTTTTGTTTGCAGAGATACAGAACAAAACCGTACTGCTGTAGCTTATGCAAGTTCTCGTCAAAATTGCTTACTTCATTCAAGAATCACTTGCACCGTTACCATGAGGATGAAATGGACCAAGAGCTGGTGGTTCCTTGCCCAAAATGTGCATTTGCTTCTGATCCCAAAATAGTGGGAAAACATATCCGGATGTTTCATTCATCTAATAAAAGAATACAGAACTATACAGTCAGCATTTTGGATGGCATGAAACAATTCAGGAGTGACATCATAAACTTTACATGTCTAAAATGTCAATTTACAGACACATTGTATTACAATATGAAGAAACATGTGCTGATGAACCATTTTCAAAACTTAATAGGTATATATTTTGGCCAGAAACCTGATGAAAGGAAAGAGAATTCTGTTGAGCACTACTGTAAAAAATGTAATGCTTCTGCAAACAGCCAAGATTCTTTAATGTATCATGTCTTGACATCTGAATCACACAGAGACCTGGAGAACAAGCTTCGGTCGGTGATTTCAGAACATATTAAGAAACCAGGACTCGTGAAACAAATGCATATTGCTCCAAAGCCTGCCCAAGGTGTGCCGGTGGCTGTTCCATCTGCAGGGCCTGCCGCTGCCCCAGCAGGTTCCGTCACAGCTCCGTCATGCATCCAGCTTACATTTCCACAGAATAATCAAAACCAGAGTGTGGTGCAGCCAAAAGCGGTTCAAAACGCTGTCAGACCGGTGACTGTTCCAAGTGCCTCTGGTAGCCTTCCACACACAACTGCTGCTCCAGTTGTAACCCCATCGCATGTTACTATTGTATCCAGTAATCTTACTGTAGCTCAGAATAGCGTTAATATTCAGCCATCACCTTCCCAGCCTATCCTTGTTTCCCGTAGGCTCCCCCTCAGTCAGCCTGTGAGGCCTGGAGCTATTCCTCTTAATCCTCCTGTCGGGACTGTAAATAGAACGGTGGCCCCTGCAGTTCTTCCTCTTAATCAACCTGTCACGCCTGGGCTCTTTCCTATTAATCAACCCATTGGTACTATAAATGGTCCAGTTGCAGCTGGAACGCTACCTGTTACTCAACCCGTCAGCCCGGTCACCCAGCCGGTGGCACCGGGGGTGCTCCCCGTCACCCAGCCGCTCGGGAATGTGAGTAGACCCATCGGTCCCAGGGTCCTTCCCGTGACGCAGACGGTTGCCTCGGGTGTTCTCCAGCTTAACCAGCCTGTTGCTTCTGGGCTTGTTCCCGTCAGACAGCCGGTCAGACCTGGGTTCCTTCAGCTTAATCAACCTGTTGCCCCAGCAGTTATCCCAGTAAATCAGCCGGTTCAACCCGCAGTTTCTCAAAGCGCGACTTTCTTGACTGCGGGCTCTATACTTAGGCAGTTGATTCCAACGGGGAAGCAGGTTAACGGCATACCTACGTACACGCTTGCCCCGGTTTCAGTTGCTTTGCCTGTACCTCCCGGTGGTGGAGTAGCGACTGTGGCTCCACCGCAAGTGCCCATCCAGCTCATGCAGCCTGGGCCAGTAACTCAGCTGTCCCACTCGCCGGCTGGCGCGCCGTCTCCTCCAGTGGTTTTAACGTCTCAGAATATATCGTTAAAAGCATCCCCACCTGGTCCTGAAACAAGTCAGGCTAGCAGGCAGGCGAAGCAGTGGAAGACTTGCCCGGTTTGCAATGAGCTTTTCCCCTCAAACGTCTACCAGGTGCACATGGAGGTGGCCCACAAACACGGTGAAGTAAAAACGGAGGAAACCCCGGAACCTGACAAGCTGGCAGCCTGCGCGCCCTTTCTGAGATGGATGACCGAAAAGACAGTCCGGTGCTTCTCCTGTAAATGTTTTCTCTGTGAGGAAGAGCTCATGAAGCATCTCTTGATGCACGGCTTAGCTTGCTTGTTTTGCACAGTTACTTTTCATGACTTAAAAAGCCTCATGGAGCACAATAAAACCACACACAATGGGAAAAAGCAGTTGCACGCGGATTATAGCAACAGAGGATTTCAACTCGGGAACGACGCTCAGGGTGACCTTGTATTTCCACACTTTGATTTCAGTACGGTGTTACCAAAAGAAGACATTGGTGAAAGAGAAGTGCATTTGGCAGTGCTCGCGGGACTGAACTCAAGGACACTTGTCCCTGTTTACATCAAAGTGAAACCTCAGACAGCAGAAGTGAACAACCGATGCAGCAACAAAGTGTTAACCTGTCCCTTTTGCTTTGGTACGTTTGTTAGTGAAGAAACCTATGAAATGCATTTGAAAGAGCGGCATCATATAATGCCAACTGTACATACAATTTTAAAGTCTCCTGCTTTCAAGTGCATCCACTGTTGTGGTGTGTACACTGGAAATATGACTCTAACAGCTATTGCTGTACACTTGCTCCGTTGTAGAAGTGCTCCCAAAGACAGCAACTCGAGTGTGAAGATGCAGCTTGAGCGTACTGAGAAGAAAGAGCTACTGTTTGTGAATGGTGAAAAGCACGATTCTGTGATTCTGAAAAGAAAACAGGCAGATTCCTGCTTTGTTGCAGAAGACCAAAGGAAAAAGGAACAGCAGCCTCTGAGCTTAAGTACTGGCATAGCGCTCCCTCCAGAGAAAGAAGTGAATTCAGGGGTAGTGCCTTTCAAGAGACAAAAGGTTAATACTAGGACTGAGATGAAGAAGCTTCCTTCTAGTGAGGATCTTCGCATTCTAGCAGTAGATCCGAAGCAGTATGATTACAATTCGTATGAGGCTCAAAACCAGTTTTTGACAGACTACTTTCATGAGAGGCCATATCCTTCTAAAAAAGAGATGGAATTACTTTCCTCGCTGCTATACGCGTGGAAAATTGATGTTGCATCCTTCTTTGGAAAAAGGAGGAATATATGTTTAGAGGCGATAAATAATGACAAACCTTCTGTGCTGCTGGGTTTCAGTATGTCCGAACTAAAAAATGTTAAGCACAGTTTGAATATAAAAGATGAACCATTAGATATGTAAACAAGCTTTTTATAACAGCTAAAAGCAATCCATAATTGCATACTTATTGATTTAGCAGTTTATTGTATTTGTTTTAACTTGCAGACTGGCCTGTTGAAGGGTGCAGTAGTACAAAAAGTCTTGTTCAGCTGTGACTTATTGTGAAAGGCACACATAGTTGTGTATTTGAAAAAGCTAAAACCTTCAGACTACACATCTGGAATTTGTTTTAGCTTTTTACTTTTTCTGGAGTAGTGTTTTTTTTTCCCTTTTTTTTTTTTTTTTTTGTTCTGTTTCCTTTTCTTCCTCTCCAGGCTCCTATTACACTTTTTATACCACCATGTAAAACATTTGTCCTGTTAAAAACAAATTTTATTTTATTTTTCTGCAATGTCATCATCTTTTCTAAACAATAAAATGTATAATGTTGGTTAAAATACTGAGGTAAGCTACGTGAAAAACATCTATTTGATTATTTGTGGTTTTAAGTCCTAATTTTTTTTAACCTAGTTTTGTTTTATCTACTGAAGAAGCGGTTGTAGCCTTTACATCCGTTGCCCCTTCAAATTCCCAATGCACTGGTAGCAATAAAATACATGGCAATCTTTTTTTTTTTTTTTTTTTCCCCCCCCCCCCTCAGTCAAGATACCTATGCCAGTTAAGTCTGGTGACTTTCAGTATCTAACTAGTATTAACATGCTGGGGATTGAGGGACTTGGGGGTGCCTGTTGAAGTGTTACAATTAACTGACTTGAAATGGTTGTGGTGTTATCTGTTAAATAGATCTTGTTAAGCAGAAGCTTTACTCTTTTTGTTGGTGTTGAAGCCTGGTTTAAATACTTACTGTTCAAAGCTTGGTAGCAGCATTTGGTTTCTTTTTCAAAAAGCAAAACTGCTTTGGAGAGTGTCAGATTGCTTTGATACGTGGAGTATGACTTCTGTGCACATCACTTACCTGTAGAAGCCCTGTCCAAATATCACTGAAGTGTGGTGAAAAAATCTGATTTTTATTTTAAATTGCTGTCGCATGGGGCAGTAACTGAGCAGTGCCTCCTTCCCAGCAAATCAGATACATGGATTTGAAGTCCTTTCGGTCAGAAATTTGTAGAAACTGAAACTGGGCGAATTGGTAGCATTAAGACTTTGAACTGTAGAGTACCTGAAGCAGTGATACTTAGGTAGCAATTGTTTCTTTGTTTTTTTATTGTCCTATAGGGAGCATAAGTACAGTATGACAGCCAAATAAGCCATCTTGGTCAATATGAACTATCCCTTTTGCAGGCTACAGAAAAGCTGCTGGGAAGGTTTACTTGAGTTGAGGAGCAAACCCTGTAGTACAGGTGGCCACACTGAGGCCTCGTGTAGTACTCTCGTTCTGGATATGCTTGGTTTCATCTGGCTTGTCAAACAGTGCCTCTAATATCAGTTAATTGCCAGTTATATAATAAAAAACCCTATAATATGCATTACTTGTTTTTCTTCCTCTATATCCATCTCTCCTCACCCTTCTTTCCCAGAAGGAAAAAAAAAAGAGCAGGCTCTTCTGTAAGTTCACCTGTGCCAGTGTTACAAGAAAAAGGTGATATGCCCAAGCTTATTTCTGTTTTTTTTTTTTTTGTTAAGTAGTAAGCATACTTTTGCCCTGTGCGATAGTTTTGAAAGCAGGTACAGAATTCTCTTTTTTTTTTGTCCTGTTTCTAAAAGGGCATGACCTTTTTAGCAGAATTTGATAACTGTCCACCTGAGATTCTAAGAAGCTGTTAGAGATTCTATTTTGGATACAATCTCGATATTTTTATATTGATCACTTCAAAGAATTTTAATGTATGTTTAACATACAGTTACTTTAAACTAAGAGGATCTGCTGTTTGGAAAAATCTAGTAATTTAATAGCAGTGTTGAACAAACATAGGCACCATTTATGGGATTGTCTGCACGCCCCACCCCAGAGAGTGACAGTGAGGAAGAAGCAGTGTGTTCTTGTAGCCTAATAATAGCTCGTTAAAAATAAAAATAAAAAATTGTATTTGGGCCTAGCATAGTTTATGAACCATTTTGAAGGTCTCTGCGTGAGGAAGAGGGATGGTCTGTAGAAGCTGTGAAATCTAGGCACTCTTAAAACCTCAATCCTGTGAGCCCTGCCAGCTTTGGGGTAGTTCTGCTGGTATTGGTGAAACCCCAGCCCGGAGGAATTCAGCAGCATGCACCTGGGGATGGTTAAAGACTGTTCTTGAGATAACTCTGTGGCTTGGAGTGGGGAGCTGGGAAGTCATTTCGGGGTACACCCATGCTTGGGGCACTGAGGGAGCAGTCCAGTCTTACCAGAGTTTTCCTGCATAGTGTCCAGTTAAGCATTTTATTTATTGGACTTTGATTTCACAGTTCCAAATAAATGAGTGTTTTTAACTTTTTTTTAGGTGTGTGTGCATATGATTACCTATTCTTCCCTCCTACCCCTTTAATATATTCAGGGAACTTGATGTGAAAGTTTCTTTTGGTGCAGAATAGCTGTTAAAAGACACAGAAGGAAAGTAAGACCGAGAACTTAGATCTCGATGCTTTAGGAGGCCCTTACTTAGTCCATTATAGTAATATCTTCTGTTATCTCAGCTACATATTTTCCTACAGACTGACTGATGTTCTTAACTCTTGGTTCTAATTTGCTATTGCTGAGTGCTCCTGCTCTCATTAAATGAGGACTGTAGAAACAAATACCGGGTGAATTATTGAAATGTGAAGGTAGCGACTGTGACACCGCATGGTCACGGGTTTTCAGAAAAGCCAAGGAGCCTGAAAACAGCCAAGTTAAATCAGTGGCTTTAACTAAATGGGGCTTTTGCTGTAGGCTTCCCACCCGGGAAGTCGTGCAGTTAGGAAGCGTTCTCCTGGAAGGGCTGTGTGTGGGCAGTGTGGGAAGGGCCCCTCTGGCCCTTTTCTGAGGACAGAGCCCAGCCCTCCGGCATCTGCTGTGGGGAAAACAGATCCACCGAAGGAGCTCCCCTCTGCAGCAGGCTTTCCAAATGCAAGTCCTTAAAGCATGTGGCTGAAGCTCTGGTCAGCTGTGAAAGAAGTTCAGTTGGGAAGAAAACTGTTTGGTTTGCAGGATTATTGTAGTAAGTACTTGTTCCTGATGGGAATAAAAAAAACCTCCCAAACCTCCATGTATTCTGCCTCTGAAGTGTATTGGTCTGGAGAAGTCTCTGTGATTTGAGAAATATTTTGTTGTGGTTTCTTGAGCAGAGGAGTTATGCTTCTGAAGTAGTGTGATAACTTTATTATTTGAATATGTAGTAGGAAGGATTATTATTATAATAATGTGTCTTGGCCATGTTTCTTCCATAAACTTTCATGTGCTGGGATTTAAGTTAATCTTGTTTGGTAAACTGATGTTTTGGAAGGAGACAAAACCCCAAACACCCTTATGATTAGTTTTTAGTACTGTATTCTTGTGTAGAATACTACAGTTCATCGCATCAAGCTTTTTTTCCCCCCTTCACTGCTTTAAGTTGTTCAGGAAATCTTAGGGGCTGATTTAAGTAGCTATTAAATACTGTTTGGATGTGCAATTCTCAGCAAATACCTCTGTAAAACTGTAATTCTACTGCAGCTGGCTGTGCCATCTTCTAACACATTTGTCAAACTTAGCAATGGGCACATTTTTCCAGGGAAGATAAGTGATGCTAAGTAGCAAAGTACTGATACATAGAGAAAAAAAGCTGCAGGCTAGGTGCAAGGGGAAAAAAAGACAAAAAAAGCCTTCAGAAAATGTGCATGGCTTGTTTTAAAGGTTAGAAGAATTTTCATTCCTTCCTCTGCAAAATATATGTGAAAAGGGCAAAATGAGAGTATTCATAAATGAAGCAGAACTCTGGTGCTGCATTTAAAGTCTTAAGACTTTAGTGCTCAAGTACCTCGTTTCTCACTTCAGCTGCCCTGACTTGACAGGCATGCTGCAGGTGTGACCGTTTCTCTTTTTACTTGGGCACCAGGTCCTGAACACGTCTGACAGCTCTTTGTGATGTGAATTTGTCCAAGTTTGACACGCTGAGTTGGGGCGGGGGTTGGGTATGCGGTGTGTGCTTACAGCGCTGCCGCTTGAGAAGAATGTAGGTCTGCAGATACCAGGGACACAAACATGGGCTGGGCACCCATCTTCCAATTCCACATAAACTGTTTATTAACCCGGTGTTTTACCTAGGAGTATGTTGAAGAGAGTGTGTTGTTATAGAATCAGGGGAAGGTAGATGCCTCAAGTCTCTTTGCAAGTGTTGCTCTTACTTTGCCTGCTTACCCGTTAAATGGGAGTAACAGCTTTTCTTGCCATCCTGACATACTATGTGGGTGAGTATCTTAAAGACTGTGAGACCCGTAGGTATTTTATGCATCGAGCTGCCCAAGTAAGCCACGTATGGAACAGCTAACGGTGCTTATTGGGCCTGGACCCTTCTGGGAGAAGCATCTGATTGATTGTATTATCAGAGTCAGTGTCATTTTGGCTTACAACCCGTTTGCAAGTGAAAAAGATACTAAGTTTTGAATGATGTGAGAAGTTTCTAAAGCAGTACTGCTGTCCATGTGCTGTGTGGGTATGAGACAGACCTGCTGAGGGAGGCAGCTGTAGCTTAAAGCAGCTCAGCCATACTCAGCGTGGTGTTGTGCATAGATCTGTGGGGAATGAAAGGGCTGCAGTGAGAGCTGGGGTGTGGAAGTCTTCCAGGTGTGATGGCTGTCGTCTTGCTGCTCACCAGTTCTCAGCTGGCCTACATCTAACTGGTGTTATGTCATACGAATAACTGAAGGAGGATGCACGGAAAAATGCCAAGGCACCAACTTGAGTGCGGTCAAGTAGTATTAATACATGAGTAGCAGAAGAGAGGTTATAGAGAAGCACTGCAGGTTTTCAGTTGTTCTTTGCAGAAAAACAGTGGAAGGAGTGAGAAGCTCCCCCCACTGAGATGTGGAAGACTGTCTCTTGTGGACCGGGCTCATTAGCTGTACTGTCATGCATGTGGTATGCTAGAAGCATCACCTTTTAGAAAAGGAGATGCAGAAAGGATACTCTTGGAACCTCTGTTTGTCTTTGGCACATGAGGACATAGTTCTTGACCACGCAGTGTGAAACCCTTTCAAGGTCATGGAGGATAAGTGCCCTTAACTTCATTTATTAAGTCATGTTGCTCAGCAGATACATGCAGTGTCATCCATCTGCCACAGGCCTGGCATCATATGCTATGCTAGAGACCGAGGACTGACTGACAAGATTTTTCAGAGCTCTCAGAAGTATCCTCTCCTGATCTGGGCAAAGAATTAGGGTTGCGAGGGCATCACTTGCCCCAAAACAGGTAGTTCCGTTCGAAAGCATTGGCAGCCTGCTGTATGAGTTGCCATGCACGTGATCGAGTTCTGTCTGATTAATGCTGCAGTGGCTGCAGGTGATCCTCAACAGAGCTGGAAGTGTAAGGTCATCAGTGATCCTACATACGGCACTGCGCATTAGCAGAGATGGAAGGCAGGGCAGGAGCAGTACAGCTGAGTGTACTCTGTCTTGGCTTGCTGATTTTGGAATAAGAGCTCATTTTACAGTAGCTTTTAAGACTGATGTTATTTTTGATGTGAAAAGTCTATTTAAACTTGTTAATGGAAGGAAAGCTGTCAGGCAGCATTGGTGTAGGGAAGAGCCGGTGTGTTATTTGAAGAACGTGACTGCTGGGATTTAAACCACCACCACCATTATTTATAAACACGCGTGCGTAAAGGTTAGCTGGCATCGGTTTGCCTGCTGGGCTGCCGCTGCTCAAGGCCGGTGCTGACCGTGGCAGAAAGGGGATGAAGTGTCCCCACCGCGAACCCAGCGCCCGGGTGCGGGGCCGCGAGCGGCGGAAGCGCCGAGCGCGGTTTGAGCGGAAAGCGGCCATCGAGACGAAGGTGAGCGGCGCTCCTGCTGAGGGGGGGCTGCCCCTGGTAGGGAAGGGGAGGAGGGGGGGCTGCCCCTGGTAGGGAAGGGGAGGAGGGGGGGCTGCCCCTGCTTCCCGCCTGTTGGTGGGCAAGGGCTCCCGGCAGCAGCGCCAGCGGGGAGGTGAGCCCCTTCTCCCACCAACGGGGCAGCTCCCTCCATCTTGGGCAGTGCTGCTCTGGAGGCCCCACTCGCGGCATTTCGGGTGCTGTTACGGCATCCGGGCCCTCGTGCCAGAAAGTACCGAGAGGAACGAGCTGGGAGCAAGCACAGCGCAGGGCTGGGCAGCCTCTGTCAGGAGTCTGGCCCACTGATTTTTGCAAAAAAAAAAAAAAAAAAGATTAGCCTGGTGACAGGCTGGAGGTCTGGGGGCACTTGCTGCGGTTGGGGTGTGGCGGCGCGTTTTCGCCTCGGCTGGAGGAGCAGTGGTTTGCCGTGGAGTGGGAGCCCTCCCTGTTAAAAACGGTGTGAGGGGTGGCTGCTGCGAGAGGACAGCCAAAATGTCCGCACCTGAGGGCGCCTCGCGCTCGCCTTCTCTTCCTGGGGCGTGTTTGGAGGGCCTGAGTTTCGCCGAACCGTGGCCTCGGGTGGGGGCAGCTTCGAGCGGGTCCCTGGGGAAGTGAGGGGGGTGAGGAGCAGGGGGGGTCCCTTGATGGCGGGGGGCTGTGGGGGAGCGGGCAGCGTCGTGGGGGGAGCCCCTCCATGGCACAAGGCCGAGCTGGCCGGCGCTGCCGCTGCTGTGGTTTTTATTTTTTAATTGAGCTAAGTAGTGAGACTCTAGCGTTTGTCCTGATTTGATAGAACTTGAGGGACAGAACTTTTCTTTTGCCAAAGTCTCATAATTTGAGGCGCGAGGCCGAGCTGCTGCACCGAAGGGGCCTGGGGCTGCCGGGGGGCCACATCTCCTCGGGCAGAGCAACGGCTGTTCTTGCAGGTGAGACCTCTGCCACTGGATTCTTCTGGTGCCATTTCTGTTCTTTATCAAGTGTATTAGAAAGCTCGGTCCGGAGGCTTTCTAATAAAAATGATTCAAAAAAAAAATCATTATTCTCAGAAGTAAAAGGTGACATATTTATAAAATAGAAAATGTTAAAATATTCTAATAAAAATGATTCAAAAAATTGCGCATACGATTCTGAATGCTTTAGTTTGGGGGAGGAGGGGATGACTCAGAACAACAACAGTAAAAACCTATTAACAGTTTAAGGCTCTGGGAGCCGGCGGGGGGGAGGGGGTGTGTGTGTATGTGGTGTGGTGGTATAGAATTTAGCAAAAAGATGTATTTAAACAAACAAACAAACAAAAAAGGCATTTTCTCAGAGCAGAGGTGTGTCTGTGCTTCTTGCTGTTGCCCTAAGCCACATGTACCTCTGGGGCAATGAGGTAAACTGCTCATAGAAATACCTCAAAGTGGTGTTTTCGCGCTTCCTATCTGCTTTGTATCTGGTTTTGGAGTAGGTGGAAAAGAAGTGGGAGCTATCCTCCAGATCTGTTATTTGCATAAAACTTTGTGCTACTTTGTGACTGATGATTGTTAGATCTTCTTATGTTTTTGCTGGCCAGATTTTCAGGCTGTAGATGGAGTATTTGCATCATGCTAGGAAATACAGATTTCTCTTTGGGAAATCTGCAGCCATAAAGCCTTTTGATTACAGTGACGTTACTACTAGATAATGTTTAGCTGGTGAGGCCTGCCCTGTTTCCTCTCTGTGTGTGGAAGGAGGTGGATTTTTAAAGGAATGGAAAGGGCAAAGATTTACACAGGCAGTTTTAGACAAAGGAATTCACAAACGCAGTAACCAGACCCAGCTGAGATAAGAGGGGTAAGCTCTGCTGGAAATACTACCTTGGTGACAAGCCCTGAGCAGGGTGATAAACACTGCAAAGGTGATTTTTTTTTTTTTTTTTTTTTTTTCCCCTCTTTCTTTTTTTTTTTTTTCTTCCCTCCATAGGGCTAAATAAAAATATACAGTTTGTGCTTGTATGGCAAGTCAGCTTCCCCTCCCTTACCCCGTGACCATGAGGGGTCTGAGCTGCACTCTGCAACGCAGTCTGAGGCTTCCAGAAGTTGGGTCAGAGGACCCTGGGAGGAGAGACCTTCTCTGGAGAATGGCTGGGAATAACGCTGGGCGCTATTTTAATCTGAGACTCAACGTGCATGTAGCTGGGGGGGGGTGGTTTCAGAGCAAGCACAATCCGCTTGCGCTGCGACCAGGGCAGGCAGCCCCCAGAGACCACCCGGGGGGGCTGCGAGGCAGAAGCAGAGGGCCGGGTGGGCTCAGCCCAGCGCAGGGGCGTGTGTCCCCCCTCAAACTTACATCCTTTTTTCTTTTCAGCAGCGGGTTATCTACGTCGTGGCCAGGTGCTCGCTCATCCAACAGTTCAGCCTTGCCGTAGCTGGAGCGGGGGGACGCTGCGTGGCCATCGGCAGGGGCAGGGCGTTCGCTTCGTGGGCTGGGGAGGGATCCTTGGCTCCTCACCAGTCTTCCCAGTCCTGCCCTTGCGGAGGCCCCCGATACCAGAGAGAAAATGCTGATGACATCCACCGGTTGTTATTCCGATGTTAATATACTAGTAATACGCAATGTCCTTTCTGACTGGTAGGCGGATGGTCCAGCAGCTTGTGACACTGCCAGACACACTGCGGAAGCTTTGGCTTCCGTTGTCCTTCCTGGTCTTCTCGGCTGACATCTCCAGCTCTAACTTGGTTTCCTCATTTGTTGTTTTTTTCCCCCTCTTCTGAATTAAGGCAGTAATGCTGAATTCACTGTAATTCATTATATTTTCATGTCTGTGTACATGAGTTCCTTGAACAACCAGCGTTTTCTTAAAGAAACCTTAAAAATGCTCTCTTCTTTGCTCACAAGGATTGAAACCTTGAGAGGGTATGTATGTGTTTATGTACCTATAATTATATATACCTATAATACCTGTTGAAATGCCCATTTAAATTAACTTTGTAGATTGTCAGTGAGAAAAATTATTTTTATGGAGTTGGCTCATTTCCATAGTAACAATTTAATACATCCATATGTGTCTTTGATGTCAGGTGTGCTTCTCAAAAACCATTCGAAAGCGACATGCCAGTTTAGGTACTGAAGAATTACATTCTTAGGGCAGTCTGGAATACTTTCCGATGGGCATCTGCAGGAGGAAGTAAATTTATGTAAAGCCAGAGAGACTTATCAGGCTCACGCAGATTTGATTCTGAGAATGAAGTGGCCCAGAAGATAGGGCTGAAGCTGTAGAAAAGTGCTAGCTTTTGAAAAAAAAACTGAAAAAAAAAAAAAAAAATCCCAACCAGTTGCATTCCTTCTAAATTAAAAGCAGCTGAAATGTAATTAAACTTACGCTGTGATGCCATCTATGGGATTTCCGTGGGGAACACAGCCCTGGCCATAATATTTATATGTTTAAACTTAGAGTTGAAGTTTTGTTTTAAAACCACAAGAGCACAATGTCCCCCTGAGTGTATCAAAATAAGTGTTTCCCACACTGTACCTAGCTATTTCTGTCCTTAATTTAAGGAAAGTTATATTCCTTCTCAGAAACTTTGGTGTACTGCCTTCAAGAAATATAGATCTGAGCCAAACACCTCATACAACTTAGAAACTGCTTTCAGTTCCTGTTACAGTTCACAGAAGTGTTTCTGAAAAGACCCTTAGCATATACTAGATCTGTCTTGTTAAAAATCATCAAAGTAATACAATCTATGAAAAGTCTTTTGAGTTATTGAACACATAACAGCAGTGATTTCCGAACCTAAGAAATTGATACGTGTTCTGGAGAGGATTTCTGTATGAAGAGATTAGCATTTTGAAGCCAAAAATAAATCCAAAGCTTTAACACAAAGAGTCCAAAGTGAACATCCTGAACCCTAGACAAGTGATCTGGGTGTTAAACGTTCAAAGTAGAGACATCTGGGTTATGGCTGTGACTTTTTCGCTCACCTGTGAATTTTGGGCGAGACCTTTCATTTAACAATGCAGGAAAGGCCATAATTAATACATGAGGAAAAATACGTACCTTCGAGAAATACTTAATACGTATATAATACATTTTCAACTCACTTGACTCTCTTCAACCACAGTGCTATTGTTACTAAATTGTGGCTTGAATTCCCCAAGTGTAATCCACAGAGCTTTTGTTCAAGTCGAGAGGGCTGCTGGATGTTTAGCAATTTTTATTCTGACAGGCAAGGACTGGGGAGATTCAACCTTCTTGCCGAGTCGGTGCCATTTTTTTTTCTAAGGTGTCAAATACCTGCCTGGTAGATGCAGCACAGCGCCGTGGAATGGCTACAGGTGGGTTGGATGCACAAAGTAAAACATTTCAAAGATATTTGATATTCGTTACGTGATATGTGTTGCTGCAGTGGAATTGCTGAGTTGGAATTAACTGGCAAAGAGAAAATATGGCATGGATTAGAGCTTCAGATACTGGAAATAGCCACATTTTAAAAACAAAAAATAAGCAAGGAGACGGGCAGAACTGTTAGCCTGAATAGTGCTAATTTTCAGCTACTCAGAGCTTTATTACAGAATCACAGAACGGTTGAGGTGGGATGAGACCTCTTCGGATCATCTAATCCAACGCCCTCCTCCGAGCAGGGTCACCTGGAGCCCAAGACCGTGTCCCATCAGGAGCTGAATATCTTCGGGGATGGAAGATCTGTGCAGCCCCTCTGGACAACCTGTGCCGCTGTCTGAGCAAGTTCACGGTAAAAGCGTTTTCTTGTGGAATTTGAGGTTTCTCCTTTGTGCCTGTTCCCTCGTGTCCTACCAGCAGGCTCTGCAGAGAAAAGCCAGGCTCCCTCGTCCCCAGTCCCTCCCTTCAGGCATCCGTAGCGTTCGGTGTGGTCCCCCCCGAGCCCCCTCCAGGCTGAACAGACCCCGCTCCCTCGGCCTGTCCTCAGACGTGAGATGCTCCAGCCCCTCCATCGCACTGACGTCTGCCAGCTCCCTCTGTGCTCACGCGTCCGGCTCCCCCAGCCCGTGAACGGCCACGCTGTTTAAATGTGCCCTGACTACGCCTCTCCTGATACGGACCTCTCCCCTGGCCCCAGGTACCCGGTATTTCTGAAGCCCAGTCTTACCACTAAAGCCTGAGGTGAAGGTGGCCTTGATTGAGTACCTCGACCTTCGCTGTGCCCAGTGTCCCCAGCCCCCCCCGCTGCATTTCACAGCAGGGCCACATTTTCCTTGTGCTCTTCATGTACTTGTAGAAACCTCTTTGGCTGCTCTTCACGTCCCTTCCCAGCTAGATCTACTCGAAAGACTAATCCAACCATCTAGTAGCTGGTTCCCTTCAAAGTTTTCCTCAGGATACCTGGCACTCAGCAATGGGCAGTTTTACCCAGTTGTGCTTTCTATTATTGTTATTCTTAAATTTTATTACCCAGTTGTGCTTTCTATTATTGTTATTCTTAAATTTTATTACCGTTATTAAACTGTTTTTATCTCGGCCTACGAGTCTCCCCCTCCAATTCCCTCCTCCATCCCCTGGGCAGGGGGAAGCTGGCGTGGTGCTGCCAGCTGGGTTCAAACCACGATAGTGTGTCCCTGGAAAACTAGCATCTATCAGTAATAATGTAATTAAAAGTCTATTGCAGGATGCAGTAGCACTTTATCGAAGATCAGAAGCAGCTGCATATGCATTTACTAAGAATAAATGTTCCTGCCTATGATCTGCTATGAACCATCTACTGTGCTGTTAAAAATCAGAGTATCGCTGGATGACACGGGCACTACGTGGACGCTGTTGATGCCTTTCTCTTCATCTGGCCCAGTTCGTGTCTGACGTACAACACCGTTGGGCAAGGGAAACACAGGTGAGCTATTCAGTTTTGGAAATTTTATTATGGCTTTGAGAGCAAGTACTGAATAATTGGTTAATTTCCAGAGTTTGTGCCAGTGATGTTAACTCAGTCTGATTATTATTGTGGGTATTTTCTATTTTATTTTATTTACTTGTTGAGTGCAAGTGTGAGTGTGCTGCTTCTACCTGCATTACAGAAAATGAATATGAGGTATAATGGACCATGAGCTACACCATCACAGCAAGAAGAGTCGCAGTAACGGTGACATTTTGTGCTTCAAGCAGTGCTTCTGTAATACACGTATCCTGGACACAGTAACAAGGATGTGAAAAGTTCAAAGAGAATTCCCGAGTCTCTGGCCCTTGCCCACTCCCATGCTGTCTGCCTCTGAAGTTTTTTAAACACTTGCCAAGAGAAACTTCTCTCCCGGAACGTGATGGATGCGTATTACCGGATTTGTAATCAGGCCCATGCATAATTTTGAGTACGCTTAAACCTGGCTAAAAATTGTTCTAAGAATAACGGAAAGCATCCTGGTTACACGTGCCACTGTTGAGGTGATGCCCCATGTTCCTCGGATCAGTGAGAACAGCTCTCCTCTGACCAGAGCAGGCACTCCTAGGGCGCAGTCTTCCTTTCCCCACAACACGTGTTTAAAATACTTCAGAGGACTCATCCTGAACATGCTGATTTCTCTCCGTGGGCAGTACGGGAACCGCAGGTGGCTAGTTCTGCTGCAGACCCCTGTGGTTTGCCTAGCTGAACGGCTGGCAGGTTAACCCAACTGCAGGTTCAGCTCTGCTACAGGAAAGCGTTTGGTGATCAGAAGGAGACGCTCACCTCAGGCTTGCGAAACGGCAACCCCTAGGGAGGAAACGACAAAATAACGGAGTAACCTAATTCGGTATTGTTGCAATCAAGACGGGCGTTACCTGTTTTGTCCCCACACCTAACTGGCCCCAGGGGACCTGTAACTCTGCTCCCCATCCTGCCCTGCAACCCGTTACAGCACCCGTGGGTGGGAATAGTCGCTGTCTCTTTTTTTTTTTTCTGTTGGCCTTTGTAATAAGCAATCTGCTACAGGGTTTCATTCCGCTGCCTCTTCCTGCCTGTACGGTTCCTCCTGTTGCAACCTTCCAAAGCTAGAAAAGCAGGATTTCATGATATATTTCACGATATGATTCAAGACCTTAATTTCACTGGCTTTGACTGAAGTGCTAAATGTGGGTGAGAGTGTGACTGGGGTGCTCAGAGTCACAACTCTATATAGCCTGTTACTACCGTGGTGGTCATTAGTTGTAAAATAATGAGGGCAAACCTGGTACTACACAGAAGAAGTAGGTACCTGTTACTGCAATACCATGTTTTAAATACATTGTGGATTTCTAGTTGGGTTGAGGTAAACACTAGCAGGGAGTTCGAATAGCTAACTCAGCTCCTTTTTTTTACAGCGTATCATAAACAGGGGAAGTTACACCTGGCACCAGAATTCAAACAGAAAGTTGTGGAAAAAAAAAAAAAGGAAAAAAATAACACAAACCAACTTGGAGAACTTAATTCATGACTTGCAGTGTGGGATTCAACAGTGGACTACGCCGTGTCGTGCAACCACAGGTGCGCTAGCAGTGCTAACACACAAGCTTACGTTGCAGGTTGGAGGTAAGACAGGTATTTTACTGCTAGTTAAATATTCTGCAGTTTTCAAATTAATTGAATGGGACAGAGGAAGAGAGCTGCTGTGGTAATAAAGCATTTCTGCGCACAGTAGTGTGCACCCAGTTGAAAAAGTAGTGCTCATAGCTACCAGATACACAGGGGGATATCTGTTAATTGTGCTGTAACATCAGGTTAGTTAACTCCTGTAAGACAAAGTGGTGGAGCACACACAGTTGTGTTTTCATCAGAGGAGGGCGCTCTGCTGAAGAGAAGGTCAAAATCTTACTACATCTGCTTGTAAAGAGCAGCTTTCTCTAAATTGCTGTAAAAACTACAGAGGCAAAGTTTTTTGTAATTTTTTAAGTGCTGTGTAAGAAAGGTTCGTTTGTGCTGGCAAGTAAATGTTCAAGTCACGGCTACTGCAAGTAATGGAAAACCACACAAATAAGCTGAAAATGATGGTGGGGAGCTACGTGATGATAGGAATTGTGGAAAGCTTCCAAGAATATGAAAAAAAAAGAGATATCCATCTGTTTTCATATTCTTAAAATGACTGTAACGAACCCTATGAGCAACTCTCCAGACTTTTCCAGCTGTGCCCATAGTCTTCGCTGTGCTGCAACAAAGCACACAGGCAACAAGGAGGAGTGATTAAGGGACGTGGCCTATAATTTATGTAGTGCCGAGTGCGTAACTTCAGGTTAACCATAAGCTGAAGAAATAATCAGCAAGTCCAAATAACGTTTTTCTTTTGGGGAGTAAAAAAAATAATAATAAAAAAAAGGCAAACTGCAGAAAATTCAGTTATAAAAGCTTTGTAAATGCCAACTTACAGTGTTGTGGTGGTATCTGGTGCCTTTGGGAAAACTAAGTTTCAATCAAATGAGATTTCTGAAAACAGGGAATCTAAACCGACTGCTTTTCCATTGCACGGAGAAGGCCACGTCTGATAATTTTTTTAAAGCGCAGTTCGACCCAAGGCTAAATTCTTTCAAACCAGTATTCTATCCAACACTGCGGTTATTTGACCAGACACTGACAATTTCCATGCTGGGAACTGCCGAGGGTACCACTGCTGATGAAACCTGTGGAGCCCAGCACTGGAATTAAGGATCCAGGTTGTCTCAGACTGTACTAGAAGCATTCAGGGAGCAAAGACACACATCCTCTCCATATTGTGTGGGAAAATTAAAGCCTAAGTTACGTTGTCTTCACGGCTGGTCTAACCTGACCTAGATAAACTGAGTTCAAAATACCATAGCTTTACTTTTCTTTTCTGGTTTTGAAATGGGAATTTGCATTTCTCGTCTCTCCTTTGCTTCACCTGGGGCTCGACCGAGCCCTTAAAGCTGAGGTTCAGGGGCGCAGTAAGTCCAGTATTACAGGGATGAGCAGCACTTAAGAAAAGGCTCCAGCCGTGAGATGCTGATCCAGTGTACGTTGCTGCTTCACAGCTTTTAAAAAAAGCAAACTGCACAACTCGACTGATTTAAACGCGTGCATGGAGAACGCGTCCGTGACACCGTTTGTCTTCCAGCACAGAAACCCGGCCGGCTGCTCGCCCTGTCTTGTTTTCTGGCCACTTCTGGTCCGGGTGAAGGTCGCGCTCAGCCGTCGCTGGTGACAGCTCACTTTCTGCACAGAATTAAGGGCTGCAAATATTTAAACTTACTTTCTTATGCCGGAGGAACCGAGTCCCGGCTGGGGGTCGGCGGCTGCTCCTGACTAACAGCAGCACTCGTGCTGGTATTTGGAAGCTGCTCCTCCTGCCCTGACCGGGGTGTTGCAAACTCCAAGGACAAAAAGAACTGCTGCGGGTGGGCGTGCTTGAAAAATGCAACAATGCAGAGACAGCTTTTTCACCTTTTTTGCATGCATATAACCAGTCAACACCGTGTCTGGGTGGCGTAAGACATCAAACAGTTTGATTCTGCATCTTTGGTGGGTTGCCGTTTGTGCTTGAAATCCGAGCTTAGAAGTATTGACCCCCAGCATCTGGATTCTTTACTAAAATAAATTGCTAAATTCTCTACAATGGCCACATGTGCTCTTCCTGAAGAGGCTGATACAGAGCCTGATACAGGGCACTGTGAGATAACTATGTTTATACACATCTGCACGTATATATCGGTGTGTATGTATGTGGAGGTATGTATGTGCATGTGAATATATCTTTATGTATATTTATGGATGTTACTCCTGCTGCTGCAGTTCAAAAATGGCTTGAAAAGTAAATCTATACACCAAACAGTAGTAATAACCCATCGACTCATTCCACTGCCAGTGAACAGGGCAGAATTGTAGCTGACCGAGCTGAAGAGCAGGCTTTAATTTCAAAGCTGCCACACCAGCAGAAGGCTTTGCAAAAAAACTCCTGTTCTGCTGCGTATCCTAACCTGCAAATTAAATCACTGAACCCACTAGGATTACTCAGAAGTGCTTTAGAAGAAGAGAAGCTTACGAGGAGAATCAGAACTGAAAAAACGGATTGAAAACCTTTGCCTGCATTGCAGCTGACGCTGAGCTCCAAGCACAAAGAAGTAAACTGAGAAACCTTACCACGTCCAACAGAAAGCGTTTGCCAAAACACCAAGGTGGCTCTTTACAGCAAGAATCTGTAGGATTATTAAGTACTGTCATTGCTACAGAACCGTCAGCACCCTCTGGCTCAGGTTACTGTCCTGCTGGACGGGGCCCAAGGAAGCAGAAACCAGCGTTGAGGAAGGCAAATCAGGGAATGCTTCGGGGGAAGAACGGATTTAGTCTGTTTTAAGCATAGACTGAGATCTGATTAACAGGTATCTGCTAATACAACAAACTGGAAAGTCATTTCTAGGTTCATCGATATGTTATGTATACCTATGTATAGTAATCAGAGCTGTGCTTATATATATATATATATATATATGTTGAAGAGCACACTTCTGATCATCTAATGAAAAACGTCAGGTTAACATTTCTTTACTGAGGTGATGATAAGGTTACTGCATTGTTTCGTGAGTTCTGGCATCCTCAGGAAAGGCTATCCTTTATTTTTTATTTTCCTTTATGTCCTAGGTACTGCAAGGAAAAAAACCTCACCCTTTTACAAGAGCTTTTACTTTTTAAGCATTTTACTGTCTGATATTGTCCTGGTTTTGGCTGGCACAGAGTTAATTTTCTTCCTAGTAGCTGGCACAGTGCTGGGTTTTGGATTTAGGATGAGAAGAGTGTTGATAGCGCACTGATGCTTTAGTTGCTGAGCAAGGTTTAGACTAAGTCAAGGATTTTTCAGCTTCTGGTACTGCCCTGCCAGGCACGAGGAGCTGGGAGGGGACACAGCCAGGACCCGAAGGAGCCAGAGGGGTATTCCATCCCGTATGATGTCATGCCCAGTATGGAGACTGGGGGGAGTTGGCCAGGGGTCAGCTGGTGGTGAGCAATTGTATTGTGCATTGCTTGTTTGGTATATTCTATTATTATTATTATAATCATAATTCTGCCTTCTTTTTTTGCCCTATTAAACTGTCTTTATCTCAACCCACGAATTTGACTTTTCCTTTTTTCCCCAATTCTCTCTCCCATCCCACTGGGTGGAAGTGGGGGGAGTGAGCAAGGGGCCGTGTGGTGCTTAATTGCCTGCTGGGGTTAACCCACAATGCAGCTCAATCTTTTTTCCCAATGCTGCTTCTTTTGAGGACTCATTTGACTAGAGGGTCACCTTACAGTCCAGACATCAAATGTGAAACATCCAGGCCACAGTCTTACAAAGCACTCCCTACGTATATTTGCTCACGCAAACGCTCCCAGAGCTCCCTAGAAATAGCGACGGTGTTGAAAAGTTTTGAAATATACTTTGTTATGTGTGAAAGGGAGACCTGGAAAAGTGTCCTAAAACTCAGTAAGGATTTATAAATAACGCTTTACCTTTCAGTCAAGATACGCACATGCAAACCCCCAAGTTCTGACAAAGGGCAGAGCAGCATCAAGCTAGAGCACGAAAGAAGAGCGGGGCAACGAAGCGATGCTGCGGCTCCAGGCGCCGATTTCATGCCCTGCCACAGACCCGACTGTTACCTTCTCTGAGATTCAGAGATCCCAGCTCCCGGCAGACTCAAAATGTGCAGGAAGTTTAAGCCAGAAATCTCGTGCTCTTCTTTGCTCTGCTATTTGCCCCCGTGGCTGATCCACTCCCAGGGCTGTAGGACTGGGCACTGCCGGCATCGCCGCTTCCCTGCCGCCCTGTTGAGAAGAGCCAAACAAAACCAGAACTGAAGCATCTCTCTGGAGCCAATTATTGACATGAACTCTGGTTTCCAGCAGACGAGCAAATAACATTTCGTAAATGTTTCAGCTGGGCCCTGTTATAAAAGCAACAAACAGGCTTGTGCTGCTTTGAAGTGCCCGTCTGCTGTCTCCATTCCTCCTGAAGTGAACCCAGATTTCCACACAGATGGTGACAGAGCAGCTTTAACACTTACATGGAAACCCCATCGGAAACCTCCATCAGCCTCGTTCCCATTAGGTTTGATTTTTGTAACTCGCAAGTGAAACTGGGCTCAGTTTCTTCCATCTTTTCTCTTGGTTAATTAAATTCAAAACCTGTAAGTAAATAGTTTCTTCATTCCTCTGAGGTAGTCCAAGGTCTTGAGAAAACCTAGAAAATACTGAAGTATTTCCTGTCATCCAGCAAGAAGAACATGAGCCCTGTACACTTCGGATGCTGGACTTATGTTCAAGAATTTAGGATTATACAACATCTCATTGGTTCTGTACATATTCAACATAACCACTCAAAATCTTCACCCTTTTCTAGCAAGTACTGGACGCTCACATGTGAAGTAAAATATCTATGGGCTTAAATTCTGCTTTTTCCAGATTGATCATACAAATTGAGGCAACTTTTTGGTATTACCTTGCATTGAAGAAAGTCTTCACAGGTGTAAAAAAAAAAATAAAAATCACTATATATTCTGGTT